GCGCTGGCCCAGGCACTTGTGGAGACTGACAGGGTCTTCTGAGCCCTGTGACCCAGAAAATAAAAAATCCGGGGAGCCCAAGAGTGCAGATGAGGGGTCATGTCGAGGGAAGGAGGGGGCAGGGCCTTCTAGAGGGGCTGGGCTCTGAGGTCACAGAGGGAGGGTACCCCTCGTCTGAGGAGAGGCGGCTGGGAGGTGGCATGAAGGAGGGTTCCTGAGGGGGGCCCTGCTGGAGAAGGGGTGGGGGCGGGGCCTCCAACAAGCAAGCCCAGGCTCAGAGGCCGGGAAGCATCGGTATTTCTATCATGTTTGTTAGCTGGTGTCTGTCCGCTGGATCACCTTGGCCTGCAGCCCAGGGCCCCTGAGGGGGAAAAGGGAGTGTGAGCCAAAGGAAGCTGGGGGGGGGATCCCCATGGAGGGGGCCTCGAATGGCAGCTGGGGTGTCTGCAGGGGGCCTGGACGGTTTCTGATGGAGGAGCAGGTGATGGGCTGCCCGTCTCAATTCATCAGTGCCCTGTGGTTTTCCTGGGCATCTTCGGACCAGAGAGAGAACCAAGGCAATGTCCCCCCCCAAGTAGACTGTTCAGAGTGGAGCGGGCGGCCCTCCCTCTGCTGGGGCTGCAGGAGGCGGTGGTGTGAGCGTCGTTGGCGCTGCCGGCTCCCCGGGGGCTGGGCTTCACTTATCCCCTCCAAGGACACAGCCCTACCCACGTCCCCTCAGAGCCTGTGGACTTTCACTCTGGGCGGACACAGCTTCGAAACGGCAGGAGGTGGGGTTGGCCCAGCTGCCGGGACAGGAGGACTGGGCCGGGCAGAGCAGAGGGCTGCCGGCTGCACGTGGGCCCTCAGCCCCCTTTACCAGCTGCCCGGCCCATCAGGCTAGGGCCCCCGGCATCGCCCTCTGGCAGAATCTGCCCCAGGCAGCGCCCTTTACCTGTGTGATCCTAGCATCACTTCGCCGGCCCCGGAGGCTGGTGACACCCCCCCCACCCCACCCCATCTTACAGATGAGGAAATGGGCTGGAGAGACGGCATGGCCTGAGTTCTAGATGCAGGTGCTCTCTGCCTGCTCTCCCGGTGCTCTGAGCAGCTCACCGCCCAGCAGGGCCCGCGGGGCTCCTGGCACCGGAGATCTGACCGGCAGGGGGTGTTGCTTCCCACTCCAAGGCAGAGTCAAAGCAGCAGAGTAGCTGGGAGAAGACAGTGCCCAACAGCCATGAGGAGGGATGGCAGGCAGCCCCAGACGGGAGTGGGGTGGGGGAAGGACACGTAAAAAAAAAAAAAAAGATTAAAAAAAGGATGCCCTTGGGTTTTGTGTAAGTTCCCAGCTTGCAGAACTATTCACGTCGGTCACTCTGTTTGGCCTCGAGGTGGTGCTGTGGGAGCAGGACTGGGGAGTAGTGTTTTGTACCCGCTCCATCACAAGGAAACCTGGTGCGGCCGGGCTTTTCCGCTGGGCTACCCAGAGCCTTGGGGGGTCCACGGCGCTCCCCAGACCCAGGCTCCTCGGATCTGCCTTTCCCGCGGGCATTGACACTGGAGGTTTTGTTGTGTCCACTAAAAGGGATGGCAGGCAGCCAGATGGGAGTGGGGTGGGGGAAGGACACGTAAAAAAAAAAAGGATGTCCTTGGGTTTTGTGTAAGTTCCCAGCTTGCAGAACTGTTCACGTCGGTCACTCGGTTTGGCCTCGAGGTGGTGCTGTGGGAGCAGGACCGGGGAGTAGTGTTTTATACCCGCTCCATCATGAGGAAACCTGGTGTGGCCGGGCTTTTCCGCTGGGCTACCCAGAGCCTTGGGGGGTCCACGGCGCTCCCCAGACCCAGGCTCCTCCGATCTGCCTTTCCCGCGGGCGTTGACACTGGAGGTTTTGTTGTGTCTGCTAAGGGAGGCTCAGAAAGCCACTGCAGTCCCCGACCTGCTTCCCAGAAGTGCGGCCCCCCTGGCCTGTTGGGGTGGGACGCTCAGCCCACCAGCCAGCACTCCTGCTGCCACGGTGCCTGGGCATCAGCAACGGCTTACGTGGGCTAGTCGGCTGGTGCAGGGGGAGGAGCAGGCTTCTGATCCCACCTCTGGCACCCCCAACCGGCTGTGCACCCCAGGGCAAGTTACATCCCCTCTCTGGACCTTACTCTCATCACCTAGGGTAGGGGTGTGAATGGGCTGAACTGGGAGTACCTTTCACGCTGAACTTCTGCGAGTCTCGGGAACTTCTACTGAAGACAGAGAAGTGGGCAGCACATTGGAGAAAATGTTACATTTAATAGTTGAAATCAAACATTATTTAAAAAAACAAAAAACGTTGCTAAGAGTTCCAGGAGGCAGAGTTTTCATGGCTGCCACAGCTCTTCAAGCCAAGGGAACGGAGTGTTTGGGGATTTAAACGGGGTCCTTATTTCTGTTTGGCGAGCTCACTGCCAGGAAAGGGACCCGGGCCCGGCTGGGGGTTCCAGGAGCGGGAGGCCCCACGTTTCCAGGGCAGTGGTCCTCCTGCAAAGGAACCGGTTCCCTCTCTGTTCCGAGTGAAGATGGGTGAGCTGTGAGGCTGGTCTCTGAGCACAGCAGAGAGAGTGCACAGCCTGGAAGTGTGGCTCCCCCTCTGTGGTCACCGCGTGTGTGTGTCTGTATGTGTCTGTCTGTATGTGTGTGTGTGCGTGCGCATGTGTGTGTATCTGTGTGTGTCTGTATGTGTGTGTCTCTCTCTGTGTGTGTGTGTGTCTGTGTGTGTGTCTGTATGTGTCTGTGTGTGTGTGCGTGTGCATGCACGTGCAACCCTCAGAACAAAGGGCTCAGCCCCCAGAGTTGGGCTGACAGGACTCACATCCACCTCCCTCTCTCCCAACCAGGTGCCCAAGCCCAGGGGGCTTACCCCCCACCAGCCTCCGCTTTGCAGCTCTAAGGGGCTGACCTCGGAACCTTCCTCACAGGGGCTGGTGAGGATGAAATGAGAGGCTCCTCGCTGAGCACTGGGCAGGGCCCCCGGCACGTGCTCGGATAACGGGGGCCCTGGTTATTACCACGGCTTAGGCTCTCCATCCTGTCTCCCCCACCAGCCGGAGACCCCGGAGCTGAAGGCCTTGCAGGACAGGCTGGCCACCGCAAACCTGAAGACGAGTGACCTCCGCAACCAGGTCCAGTCTCTGAAGCAGGACCTCCGGATGGCCCAGAAGGTACCTCAGAGCCAGGCTCAGGCCCGCTTGGCCGGGGCTGGCATCGGGAAGGGGCATGACGGGGACAATGGGTTCCATTCTGGACGAGCGAGGGCTTGGCCCCGTGGGCACCATGCTGCTCGCTCTGGGTCAGGCTCCAGATCCAGTAACTTCCTTCCACCAGCCCTGGAAACAGAACCATTTGGCGAGGGGGGTTGCTGGCTGCCCGGGGAGCCCTGCACACATGCCCGCGTGGAGCCCACCCAGCCCCGGAGCGAGGAGGACAGTGCTGTCCACCCAGGGAGAGCCCTTACAACCTGCCTTGTGCCCTGTGCACCCCAGTGGATCCTGGGCCTCTCCTCCCTAAGCCACCTTGGACTTGGAAGCCAAGACCTGCCTCGTGCCCTCTGCCGTCTGCAATATTAGAAAATGAATAGGTTGTTTGTGTATTCCAGGCCCCCCTTCAAAGGCAAACGCTCAGGCTTGGGAGGCAGGCCCAGCGGCTCCATTATTTATTTTTATTTACACAGTGAATTCTCTGGCATTTGTCTGTCCTGCTGGAACGCCTCAGATTTCCAAAACAGTGTTCTATTGTAGAAACAAGCGCGGGGACGCGGTGCGCCCGATCAGGTTTCCGTGACGGGCTTTAGAGGGGCCCGGGCACAGGCCGAGCGTGCTGTGTCCAGCTCAGGCCTGAACGCCTCCCGTCAGCAGCCGCAGCGTTGGGCCTTCTGGAGCCAAACGTCCCCGATTGACATCCATAAGCCCCTCTGCCT